TATACTACCTCCAAGATGATGTTCTCTTGGAAGGATAAGAAGGTCACAGTCCCCGTCGAGTTTCGGAAGTTACAACACCTTCCATTACAGGAGGAACAGTCTTTCGAAATCGTGGAGAATGAGGAGGAAGAGGTTGAAGCTTCTGACCCCGAGGAAGAATCTGGTAGCGAGTATGAAGAGGAGGAGTTAGACGATCAGCTCTTCGGGTACTCTGAGCTTGAAGAGAATGATGATGAAGTAACCCCTGTGGAGTTCGCTTCTGCTGATCACACGCCACACCCTTCTGACTTCCCTGAAAATATCAGTTTGGGCTTTTATTATGACTCCGATGAAGAATCCGTTTTGTCCCAGTACAATAAACCTAGGGTTCAGTAGGAGAAGCTTGGTGGGATCTAAATAGTGACGACGATTATCTTGGAGCTAAACAAGATGACATTCCCGACTTCAATGATGACCCTGAAGAAGCCGAACATTTTTTTTCTGACGAACTGGAGCCTTCCCCTTTAGAGTCGGACGTTGGAGAGTTGAGCGAAGACAAGAAAGATCGTATGAATGGATTGCTTTCTGATAACGACGATTTGTTTGCATAGACTTCACCGGACTTAGGACGAACCAACTTGGTCACTCATTGCATTCACACGGGAGATGCTGTCCCCGTCAGACAGAGAGCATACCGAACTTCCCCGGGAGAAAGGAGATTCCTGCGGGAAGAGATCGATCGAATGATCGAGGACGACGTCATTCGTCCCTCTGAGAGTCCCTGGGCTTCCCCCATCGTTCTAGTCAAGCAGAAGGATAAAACCCGTTTCTGCATCTACTACCGCAAACTTAACTCCGTTACCCAAAAAGATAGTTATCCCCTCCCCCGTATAGACGATCTTCTTGACACTCTCAGTAATTCCTCATGGTATACTTCGCTGGACCTTGCTAGTGGATATTGGCAAATTGAGATGGACCTGAAAGATCGTGAAAAGACGGCCTTCATCTCTCAGTATGGCCTTTATGAGTTTAACGTTATGCCTTTTGGGCTTACAAATGCCCCGGCTACATTTCAGCGCCTTATGGATCGAATCTTTCGCGACATCAACGGAATTTTTGTTGTCGTATATTTAGACGACATCAATATTTTCTCCCCTTCCTTCGACGCTTATCTTTTTCACCTAGCTGAAGTTTTCTCTCGATTACGGGCTGCGGGGTTACGTTTAAGTCCAAAGAAATGTCACTTTGCAAAAAGGGAACTTAAATTTTTAGGCTATGTTGTTAGCCCCGACGGTGTATCTACTGACCCCCGAAAGGTGGAAGCTGTTCGTAGCTTTCCTGTACCTACCACCCTGCGACAGTTACGAGGATTTCTGGGCCTGGCGTCTTACTATCAAAGGTTTATTCACGACTTTTCAAAAATCGCTGCCCCACTTCATCTCCTTCTTAAAAAGGACATTAAGTATCTATGGTCGTCCAAACAGGAAACCGCCTTTCAGGCCTTAAAAGAAAAGCTCACTACGGCCCCCGTCCTTGCCTACCCTAATTTTTCACAAGAATTTTTGCTTTTCACGGATGCTTCGGGAATCGCTCTTGGCGCAATTCTTTCCCAGAGAGATTTGCAAGGAAAAGAAAAGGTTATTTCTTATGCCAGTCGCAGTATGTCAAAAGCCGAACGGAACTATTCAGTGACTGAACAAGAGTGTCTGGCCGTCTTATGGTCCGTATCCCACTTCCGACAATATCTTTACGGCACCCATTTCGTTGTTATAACCGATCACTCTGCACTCAAGTCCTTGCTTCGTCACAAGCTACATCATGGACGTCTTGCTCGCTGGATTTTGGCCCTACAGGAATATACCTTTACCGTCGTTCACCGTGCCGGAAAATCTCATTCTAATGCTGACAGTTTATCCCGTCTTGCTGAATCTTCTACTACAAAACCTGCCGATTTTTGACTATTTCAAATAACACCCAGTTTCATTATACAACTTTATCACTTTTTCTATCATCGTATATACATTAAAATAGCTAAATTTATTAAATTTTTCGTCATGGATCCTGCGCAATATCAACTATTCCTACAATTTCTCAAAAACTTGCTTTCTCCACATTTCGAACAGTCACAATTCCAAAAATTAAAACAACAAACAAGACATTACACCCTCGTCAACGATGTACTATATAAAAAGCACAGAAAACCACCCCACAAACTTCTACGTGTTGTTCAACGGCCTGAGGTTCCTGCCGTCCTTTTTAGTATGCACTCCGACCCCCTCTCGGGACACTTCAACAATCTCTTTACTCTTCAACGTATTTCGCAATGGTATTTTTGGCCCCAAATGGGAGAAGACGTCAAGAGATACGTCCAGGCATGTGACATCTGCCAGAGGAGAGGTAGACCCCGAACACGTGAACCTTTATACTCTATTAAAATTGGACTGCCATTTGATAGGGTCAGAATCGACCTTGTGGGACCTTTGTCACCTACTAAGAGTGGTAATAAATATATCGTTGTAGCCACTGAATATCTTACGAAGTGGCCAGAAGCTAGAGCCATTCCTGATGCCAGTGCTTCGTCAGTCACGTCCTTCATTATTGAGGACATTATATGCAGACACGGATGTCCTCGGGTATTATTGTCAGACCAGGGCAAGCATTTCGACAACGTTTTAATTGACACTATCTGTAGCCAGTTGAGGGTCCATCATCGGTATTCCTCTACCTACCATCCCCAAACTAACGGTCTCGTAGAACGCTTCAATAGGACCCTTTGTGAAGTGTTGTCAAAATGCGTCCTACAATTTAAAGCCGATTGGGATCGATATATTCCCCCAGCTTTGTTTGCATACCGCACCACAAAACATTCCACCACTCGGTATGAGCCTTTTTTCTTGACGTATGGAAGGGACGCTCTTCTTCCCGATGAGGTTCGACTCTTAGTACCGGAAATTCCTCTTTCCACCGAAACGGAACTACAAGAAAATATTCTTCGACGTGTTCAGGTCCTTTTAGGAGATATCCCGGAAGCCCATACTAAAGCCCAAGCTCGAATAGAAAAATCTCAACAACTACAAAAGGCCCGTCATGATTCGTGCTTCACCCTTCAGAGCTATACTATAGGGGAGCAAGTCCTTCGTTACAAATCTCAACTTGAGGGGACCCATAAAGAAAAGCTAGGTGAGAAATGGGAAGGACCTTTCTATATTCATGACGTCATAGGAAATGGTGTCTATAAACTTAGAATGATGGACGATAAGGTCATCAAGCAAAAAGTCCACGGCAATCGGCTTAAATTATATCATCCGCGATCCGAGAAAGGCGGTTCCGAACACGATCGATCCTCGCAGAAGCTCGGAAAATAAGAGGAGGAGTTTGTTACCACGTTATTTTTTTTTGACGGTTGTGAATACGATCTCGTTATACTAACAGTTTTGGCCGATTAACCGTTATTGTCTTTATTCCCTTACCAAATTCGGCGTATTCCTTTTATTTCTTAATTTGTATA